TATCTTTTGACTGAGCACTTCTTTTTCTAGAAATATCTGAAATATTTGTGTTAAAAATCTCAAAGATGCCTATATAAGGATGCTCCACACAACCTTCTTTGCAATTGTAAGGAACTAAAAACTACCATAAGTGTCATCAATGTGGGAAAGGCCAAATACAGTTATTTTGGTGGAATACTGTGTGGCCATTACAAAGAATGGGGTGGCTTTCCACTTGTATGGAAAGATGTTCAAGATGTATTATATGAAAAAAAGGCAAAGGGAAAAATTTAAAGCAGTATGGATAAAATGATTCAGTTTGCAAATAACTTTATATAATACAAATATAAAAACTTTATCTGTATATGTCAGAATACAATGTTTATGAATGTGTATGTATGTATGTGTGTACATACAAACACCTACTGAAGTGTTTTTAATTACCAAACCCAATTCAGTTCCTGAGTTTGTTAAGAACTAGGTTTGTGAGAATTCAGGTGGTGAAGGGTAACAGATTGTTTGAATCTATTTGGTTCTTGAGTTTCACAGATCAAGAACTGAGAGTTTAGATAGTAAGGGATTCATCAGAAAACTTATCTATATTCAGTTCCTGCTTGCGGGTAAAAAGGGTTTAAATAACAAGCATTTGGAGGACAGCATGTGTGTAAATACATGTGTACACTTATTATTTTCAGTGCAGAACCGTTCATGATGGTTATTTATCTCTGGTGCTAGGACTGGTAGATGTGAGGTTGTTGAGTAGATATGGACACCTTTACCTTCTGAGCTGTTTGCAGGGTTTAGAAAAACATCATTATGTATTATTTTCAAAATTTACAAAGCCTAGCTAATTAAAACTGGGGTCGCAATGTATGGTTATATGGCACACCTCTTAGGTGAAGGACTTAAATGCAACTTGGACTTAGACAGATGCAAACAATGTAACCTAATTGTATGTGGCCTTATAGTAATCTAAAATAAAAAAGGAAATAAATAATTTTAAAAAATGTACTTATATGATAACTGAAAAGAGAAATAATTAGCTCTTCAAAAGGAGAAAATTGTTGTCTTTTTTGAAGGTGAGTTATTGAGTTGGTTTCTTAAGGTCCTGGTTAACTTCTCTAAGGGCAAGGTAAGGAGCAGGGCTTGACTGTTGTAGAGAGAGAGATTTGCTGGTTTCTTGAGCATTTCTCAGCTGATTTTATGGAGGCTGTTTCTGGTTATTGCTGATGGCTTGGTGGCGGGGGGGTCCAGGATTAGATTTGTGTTCCTAGAACCTGGCTATTGTGGTGTGTTGGGAAAAAATCGAAGGCTTGGAGTTAAAAAAACATAGCTTCTCATAAATTCTCCCCCTGTACATTCTCCCTCTTGTTCAGGTCCCACTGTCTCTCCCTGGGCCTTTATTTCCTCACTTAAAAGAAAAACAAGTAGATTGGCCTTTCATGGTTGTTCTCTATCTTTCCTATTGCTCATACCCCGTTTATTCCCAAAATATATTCTGGCATCTACTATAAGAGATCATCAACATAGGTAATTTTTCAAAACTCAAAATGGTTACAATTTTATGTTTTGGTAGCCTGAAGGATGCAAGAAAAAGATCAGTCTTAATTATGAGTTATAGGTTGCACATGGTAAAGTGCTTCAGAGCCTCTGTTCCCATTGTGCAAGGGCCTTTGGGATAAGTATAGTGACTGTGCAAGTTGGGTTTCATCAATATGGTATGTGTGGAGTTTACTAATCCTATTCTGAGATAATACATGGCTTTGCTGTGGGAAAGTACTAATAGTACTCATGGAGTCAGAACAAGATGCTTTGAAGTCATCACTGCACAGTGCTACAAGACTGGGAATAGGGGAGGAATCAGGCTATGACATTTAACTTGTGTTTTTGTACCTTTTAAACAAATATGGCATGTCTATCCCAATCCCCCAGTTGGTATCTGTTGGCCTGGTATCTCTGATCCCTTCCACTCTGGTACCCATGCATTCACTGTCTTTTATGTGCTTCATGAATCTGTGGCTTTGAAACTGTAGGGATTGTCACCTATTATTGGTGGTTGTCTGGGGGCTGCAGATGGAAGGATTGATTCAGTCACCAGCAGGCTACTGAGGATAGCAGAAGGGATAGACAGCAGATTGTTGTAATAGTCTGTGTCCACCAGCAGGAATATGTCATACTACTTATTTACTGTGATGAGGGCAAAGTCTGCACATTTGGACATACTGTAAAATCCTGTCACCTTAGTTCTTGCTAAAGCCCGGATGAGAGCTTGCTAAGCGCTACTTGTCTTTGGATTTTCAAGGAGAAATTAATTGTTGTCTTCTGATTCATAGCCATAGAAAAAGAAAGAAGACCAAAATTCAAAAACTAAATCACATCATTTCTTACCTCCTCTTTCCAATACCATCACCAATGTATTTTTGATAGGCTAAAATATGTCTTAAGCAAATTCTAGAAAGACAACACAAATATTAGTCTGGCCTGGCTGCCATAACAAAGTACCGTAGACTAGGTGGCTTGAATAACAGAAGTTTATTTTCTTATATTTCTGGAGGCTGTAAATCCAAGATCAAGGTGTTGGCAGGGATGATTTCTTCTGAGGCCTCTCATCTTGGCTTGCAGATAGCCACTTATGTGTCCTCACATGTCTTTTATCTGTGCTCACTTACATGTGGTGTCTGTCTGTGTGTCCTAATTTCCTTTTCTAATTAGTCAGATTGGATTAGCACCCACCCCAATGGCCTTGTTTTAACTTAGTCACCTCTTTAAAGGACCTGTGTTAAAGTATAGTCATCTTCTGAGGTACCAGGAGTTAGGACTTTAACAATGAGTTTAGGGTGGGGGCAAAACTCAGACCATGACAGTAGGTTTAAGTGAATGATTGTCCAGAGAAATTAATTTGCTTTTCTTTTTTCTTTTAGACTTCGATGACAGCATGTTTGTTAAGACCTCAACTCCTGAGGAGTGGATTGCACAAGGAGAATACTATGCCAAGCACCAGTGCTGGAAGGTAAGAGGTTGGATTAGGGGTAAAGGGGTGAGGAGTCCTTGTCCCTGGTGGCCTCATCGGACCTCCCAGGCAGGTTTCCTGATATTGTATTGTCACTAGCATAGGATGAGGGTAATGGTGCTTGTGCCAATTCTTCTGAAATATTAGGTCACCTTGAGCTGAGGAGAGCTCCCTCTCCTCCTCTTTCCCCAGTCAGTGCGGGCATGGACAATTCTTTGTTTTGGCCAAGTGCAGCTTGTGCTCAATAGGCAAATGGAGACCCAGGGCCTTTGTTTCACCCAGGAATCCTTCTGTTTATTTTCTTTCCCTCCTGTACTCTCTGCTTAAAATCTTTTGTTGTTATCACACTGAATTTTAAAACAGTATCAGATTGGTCTCTGATTTGTTTTTTCAAGCTGATAAGTTATAGATTGTACTGCTAATTTGAGTCTGGTAAGCCATAGGTTAAGCTTCATCAGTAGACTGCACTGACGATTTCCAGTGACAAGCCATCTTAGCGAGCCTGAGCAGTCTTCTTCTAGGAAATGTCATCTCTGCAGTAGACCTCTTAAAATGTCCCCAAACCAGATTAAAGAGCCCTATTGCTTTCTCCATATTTAGCATCACAAAGTGTCAGGTAGGGCACCATGGCATGTATGTCACCCATGAAGTAGTGGTAATGATGACTTCATGCAAGTCACACCAACTAAAACTGTGCCTTTTTGTTTGTTTTAATCTAATAACAGGAAGTCTTATCTTAGGGTTGGTTCTTCAGCTCACAAAGTCAGCATAGGCCCAATCTCATTCCATCTCTTTCTCACATCATCTGCACCTTGTCAGAGATGTTCCCCTTCATGGTTACATAATGGATGCTGCAGCAGCTCTAAGCACCCTATTCTCTCAGTAGCATTCCAAGCAGGAATGAAGGGCAGACACTTTCTTCTTATGGATCCCTTTTTCTATTATGAAGTTTCAGTGGACTTCTTATTGGTTAATACAAGGTCATATGTCCTCTCCTGGCTACAAGGGAGTGTGGGAGAGCAATCCCAAATAGCAGTTGGAGCCCTTTATGGGAGGCAGGTTTTGCCACCAGGCTCCACAGAGAAGGGGGTGTGCTGTGTGGAATTAACAGTATCTGACATCACAGGCATGACTACACAAAAATGCACATTTCTCTAAGTTTTGACTACCCCAGGATACCTGGAGTATCCCACACCTCAGCTGCAAGTGATCCTTCTTTGAAAGAACAACTGGATCTGGGTTTTGGACAGATATCTTTCTTTTCTTTCTACACTTCAGTATTCATGTTAGGAAGCTCCAGCTTCTCAAGCTTTATAGGCAAGTTGTCTACAGGTTCTCTTACCACTTTTGAACAAGTGATTTCATTTCAGAGGCCTTGTCCTGCTGCTCCAATGATCCTTCTCAGTGAAGTTTAATGGAGTTGGGCCCAAGTGAAGGTACTTGGAAGTGATAAGGACAATAAAATCACAAGTCAGGACTTAACAAATGCCACAGTGTGAGGTGTTTGTTATCTGACATGTTGGAAGAAGGAATTTCCAATTCCCAGAGGGCTTTGTCTGCTGTGGTAGGGGAAATGGTTTAAGTCTAGGGTAAATAATTCACATTTGGGGCTTATCAACTACTTTCTGGCACATAAAAGCCCCAAAACTTAGTGGCTTAAAACAAGTCATTTATGTATCTCACAGTTGTGTGGGTTGGGACTGGTGAGTTCAGCTGAGTAGTTAGTTCTTCTGGACTTAGCCGGGCAACACATATGTCTGCACTTGGCTGCCAGTCATCTCAACAGGTCTGTGTCTGGGGGTTGCCTGGCTCTTGGCTTGGGTAGTGGGGGTTCTTGTATCAGGTGACCTCCAACCTTCAGTAGGCTAGTCAGGATTTATTTACATAATGCCTGAGCAGTGTTCAAAGAGAGTGAGCAGATGCACGTAGGCTTCTTGGCCTTGAAACTGGTCCCATGTCACTTCTATTGAATTCTATTGGCCGAAGCAAGTCATAGCCTGGATTGGAATGGAGGGAAAATAGGCTGTGCTCTTAATGAGAGAAACTGCAGAGTTATGCTATAAAAGAATGTGGACAGATACTAGGAGGAGTCAGTGACTACGACTACCTTTGTAATATAAAGGGCGAGAAAACAGAATTGCACTGTTAGAAGTTTGGATATATCTGGAAAGTATTTTCATAAACATTTAGTATTTAGCTACAAAAGTTGACTGAGCCCCCAAACTATTAGCTTCTTATCCTTGTTATATTTAGAAAGAAATATAAAACATTTGGCTGCTGTTGTAAAACCAAGAATTTATTTATTTATTTATTTATTTATTTATTATGGGGCAGGGGATGGGTGGTAGGGAGGGAAGGGAGGGATGATATGGGCAGCAGGTATGGGTATGAAATTACAAAGACATATAAAATCTTACCCTTTATTCCCTTCAGTACTCTGTTGGTGCTACCCATATGTGTTGCCCGTGGATTTCCAATTATTCATCCCTTTAAAAATATCTTTTGAATGTTTGAATCTAAAATCTTTTTAGGGGAGCCGGCACAGATGAGAATGTTATAAAAACCCTTCTCCTCGCCTGACTTTATTTTGACCCCGCTAAAGGACTTCAGGACTCAGGTGGTTTATTGAGTTTTTGGCTGCATGTCAATGAATGTTTCAGAACCACCATATAAGATTCATTCATTCAACAAATACCTGTTAAGCTGTGGGCCAAGCATTATGTTTAGATTTCAGGAATCTGATGGTGAGCAAAATAGGCACATAGACCAGTGCACAGTTCCAGCTGTGGCAGGTGTCACAGATGAGAGACCAGCTGCTCCCAGAACAACTTTCCTGAAAAGGGAGGCCATAGAAGCCTTCTATGAGGAACAGAGTCTTGATCTGAGGCTTGTAGAATGAATGAAGTTAACCAGACAGAGAAAGGATGGAAGAGCATTTCAGTTAAAAGGAACAGTGTGTGCAAAAGCCCTGTGGTGAGGAGGAGTGTGGCACAGGTCACAGAATGAAAGGAAGCCCAGGGGGCTGGGGAGGCAAGAGCAAAGAACATAAGGGGGGAGATGCCATCCTGTCCACTTCATCAGCAAGTGCCACTTAGTCCCTCCTTTGCTCACACTGAGGCTTATGTCTTCATGCTAGGCAGAATATGAACTTTCTGCCCTGCAGCCTATGTTTTGAGACATAGTTTTAGCATTTTTGTTTTAGAAAAGCAGCTTTCTGCTGGCAAGAATCAGGGTGCAAGCTGACTCCCCTGTGACACTTGTCTGCCACCTTCTAGTCAGAAGGACTGGTAACACCAATCTGCATGCCCCAAGGATCTGGATGTTTTGTAATACCATCTTTATCCCCATTTCTACCTTCAGTGATCCACCAGCACCACAAGGTACCTGTTGTACTTACCAAATGTGTCAAAGCCATGGGTGACTTTGGGCCACTTTCTCCATGTCTCTGATCTGAGGCTGCTACTATACATGTATATAATAAAAAGGGTGATGCTTCTTGCCCATGGCTTTTGAAAGATTAAACAAGGTGTTCTTATGGTGGCTTATAAAAATACATATTCTGTACCCTTTCTGTGGGCACTTCAAAAGGAATCGTTGAATGTGAGGTATTAGCTGATAATACTATTGAGCTTTACTCTCTGAGGTTTTTTCTTTAGCATACCTGTACCCTTCTGCTCCTCTCAGATTGATTGAGGGTGAGACTCAGTCTTTTGTTAGTACAAACATAATGCATGCTTTAACTCTTGTTCTGTATGTCACCTCCATTACCTTGCTGGGGGGAAAAAAACCCTTTTGCCTATTTCAGGTTGCAGCCAAGTGTTACCAGAAAGGAGGTGCATTTGAGAAGGAGAAGTTGGCCCTGGCCCACCACACTGCCCTGAATATGAAATCCAAGAAAGTCAGCCCCAAGTAAGAGTCTTGCAGTCATCTCAAGTTTGATCTAATGTTAGATCAATATTCCATAAACATGCTGTTTTGTTTCCTTTATCCCAGGGAAAAGGAGTTAGAGTATTTGGAACTGGCAAAAACCTATTTGGAGTGCAATGAGCCAAAGCTGTCCCTTAAGTGTCTGAGCTATGCCAAGGAGTTCCAGCTGTCTGCCCAGCTATGTGAGAGGCTGGGGAAGGTATGATCCCCAGCTTACAGTTGCTCTTGGGAGAACTAGGCTTTACTTGATTAGATTGAGATGGGCCCCTCAACCTCTACTTACAGCAAGAAGGGACTCTCATCTTTCCAAGGAGGGAGGGGCTGGCCCTACTGATTCCAAAAGTAGTCTTTTCTCTGTACTTGTTCAAACTTTTAGAAGGCTCTGAAGAAGACTCTGTGTGTATGTATACATGTACATATACATCTGTGTTAATGTTCAAGGGATGGTATTAACCATGGGGAGGCCAAATGTTTCCAAATGGTGGATGGGTTTTAGAATATTCCTACCTTTATGCTCACAGTCTGGAGTGGTCTGGCTTTTGCATAGAGTTTTTTTTTTTTTTATGTTCTAGGTACTTATTCTAGATCTACACTGTCAATTCAGCAGCCATATGTGGCTATTTAAAATTTAAATTAATTAAAATGTAATAAAATTAAAAATTCACCTCTTCAGTCTCACTAGCGACATCTCAAGTGATTATTGTTATAGAATATTTCTATCATTGCAGGAAGCTCTCTGAGTCAGAGCAGCTAGTCTGGGGCATAGCTGCTCACAGAGTAGTTATCAGGCCACAAACTATTATTTGTCTATAGCAAGATTAACACAGAAGATGGAAGTAAGCAGTTAGAAATTTTTATAGCCATTTGGCATTGCCATGACATCCAAATGATGATTATTTTCTTATAGATTCATTTTTAAAGTATCATTATGATGGATTAGAAATTTAAAACAATCTGGTCCTTCACCACAGGTGGTGGAAGAGCCTATACTTGAGAAGCTGGCTCTTGTATTTTCCCCATGTCAGGTTTTATGATTCTGCAGTAGGAAGGAGGGCATTGTAAGGAGTGGGAGTGGGACCTACTGGGAACTTTGAAGTGTGACCATAAGTCAGTGTCAAAGACAAGGGATGCTGTCTGCCCTGCTTTGTGTTTATTGTGGGATGTAACTTGATAGGATGTGGGAGATGGGATTGAATAAGGATATTGGAGAAGATATTTTAGTATGGGTGGAGGTTTGGGTCCTAGATTTGGGAAAGTAGAATAATTTTTAACCTCTCCAAGTTCCTTAACCTCCAACTTTCCAGCCTTCAGTGTCACCACCCTGAACTCTAACCATTGTCCACAGGGGATAGGTCTATGCTATCATTTTCTCTTTTTTGCCTGCTGGTGCCTGCCATGACTGAGCCAGAGACCCTTTTCTTATCTCCTTCTCCACCCTATACCCCTAGATTGCTAAGCTCTACCTCTGAAAATGTGGGTTGGGGTAAGCCAGGAACCCATAGTGCAGTCCAGGACTGCAGGACTTCAGCACCTGCAGGTTGTGGAGGCCATCTTGCTCCTCGAGGTACAGCATTCCCCCTTTCCATATATTCCACAGGCTCAACCTCTAGGCACTTCTGCCTTCTCTCACCAGTACTTCTTAGCGATAAACCCCACACAGGGAAGAGTCTGGTCCCTTTCTTTGCTCAGGCCCCTCCCTGGAAGGTTGTTTAACACTTAGTCAGGGGCAGACTTTTTGTGGGCATCTCATCCACAAGGCTTGGTAGCAACCTTCTCCTAGATCCTTAGGCCAAATCACCTCCCTATTCCCAGTCCCCAAATGTGTTCTGTCCCTGGAAGAAACATTTGTGCAGGTGCGATGGGAGTGTAAGATTTCCCTGCTGGGATGTCTATGCTTCTCTGCTTCCTACCTCTCTCCAGAGAGCAGCATTATTTTTCCTGAAAGCCTTTCCAGGTGCTTGCTTGGGATGGTAAGTGGGGCCTCCTTGCAGAGCATAGTAGGCCAGAGTGGGGAGTTGCCACTTAGAGCAGCCCATTTTTCAATCCCTCTAACTAACTAGGCACACACTTCACACCTAATGGGGGTCTTCTTTCATGCACAGGGATTTTTCTTCTCATTAATCAGCATTGTCAAAGAGAGGAAAAGGGATGGGTTATTTAGATGTATTGGTTATGGGGCTTCATTGATTATCTAGGAACTCCTTTATCTTTGGACATACAAGAACCCTATACCTGAATCTTGCTTTTTATTTTTACTACTTCATGTAGCTTGTCTAATTAAATGTCACTCAACTATGATTTTTTAGAGGGCTGGGCACGTATATTTTGTTTTGTTCCATTTTAATTTTGTTTCCTTTTTGGACCTCAGAATTGTGAAAATAAATATTCAACAAATAGGTAGACACCCAGGCACCATGAATGCTGGATGGCCATCAGCCAACAAAGTGGAGGCCTCTGCCTTTGCAGAGCTTCCCTTTCCAGTGTGGGAGAGACATGAATGGATCAGTAAATAGTGTCTCAGATGTCAGGGGTGCTGAGGGCTAAAGAGAATACTAGAGCTTGTTAAGGGGAGAATGTGTTGAGGTTACTATTTTAGAGTCAGAGAGCTGACTTTTGAACAGAAATGATGAAAACAGTTGCTGGAGCATGTCACAGGCCAAGAACCTAATGGGCAAAAGCCCCAAGGTGGAAGCATTTTGGCAAGTTTGAAGAACAGCAAAGAAGAAAGTCTAGTCAGAGCAGAGTGAGGAGAAAGTGGTCAAATGAGCAAGACAGGGTGGCAGGGACAGGTTAGTAGAGCCTTGTTGGCTGAGGTGAGGACTAGATTTTGTTCCAGTGTGATAGGGCACCAGTGGAAGGTTTTGACTGCAGGAGTGACTTGAAGCTCATTGTTGGGATGCTCTGTGGAGAAGTCAGTAGGGCAGCAAGAATAGAAGCAGAAAGACCAGTTAGGAGAGTCTAGCAGCAACTTAGGCTGAAATGATAGGGCAGGGGCTGCCATGACAGTAGTAGAGGTGGTGGGATGGGGGCACATCTGGGCAATATTGGGGAAGCTAAGCAGATAGGATTAGCTGATGGGCTATATGGGAACTGTGCGAGGAAGAGGAGTTGAAATACTCTTCTGTTCACAGCAAACCCACCATCGGTGGGCACAAGGCCCACTCATTGGGTTTTATTTTGTCATCTTCTTCTTCACAGCTTCCCATTCCTTTTTCATTGGCAGCCATTCTAGTGCATTTAATACCATGTATATGTCCTTAGATTGCCGTGTTGAAGAATAAATAGTAGTATCTTCTACATATATATACTTTAAGCTTATCTAAATGGCATCTTATTCTATTTTTCATTTTTTCTACCTCCCACTTTGGCATGATGGTCTGGTCGCATTTCTGACTATTGTATCTTCTAGAGTGGGAATCCACTGCACTGACTTTTCCATTCCCCTAGTGATGAATGTCCAGAATGCTGCTTTCTTCTGGCTGCCATATGCAGCACCACGCCATAGCATTTCTTCTTATAGTCCTGTTCAGGCCTTTTTTGAGATGTGTTGCAGGAGTGGGCTTGCCAGCCCCAGGTTATGTATATACTTCATTTTACTAAAGATGGCCACTTTGCTTTCTAGAATGGCTATAGCATTTTGTGCACAAGGGTTCTGTGTTCCCATATTCTGGACTATGTTCAGTGGGTTCTGATTTTATACTTTTTGCAAACCTGGTGGCTATGTTTCACTGTAGTTTTGGTTAAAACTGATCATTAGTGAGGTTGACATCTTCACTTATTTGTTGGCTGTTCAAGTTTCCTCCACTGCAAGCTTTATAAAGATATAAAAAACCTATTTATATCTTTTGCCTAGTTTTCTGTTGTGTTTATTGTCAGGTCTTTATTTATTTATTTATTTATTTTTGTTGCAGTTTTTGGCTGGGGCTGTGTTCGAACCCACCACCTCTGGCACATGGGGCCAGTGCCCTACTCCTTTGAGCCACAGGTGCTGCCCTATAGGCAAGTCTTTTTCTTGTGTTGCAGAAATCCTTCTTATGTTCTGACCTGCCAGGTCCCATGTGGTAGCCATTAGCCACCTGTGACTCATTAACTTTAAATTAATTAAATTAAATAAAATTAAAAATCGATATTCAGGTGTGGCTCGTGGCTAGCAGATTGGATAGCACAGATATAGAAAAATTCCATCTTTACAGAAAGTTCTCTTGGCTGATCTAGATGTCTTCTAGTAACTTTATTTCACATTCACTTTGTTGAATAGTTTTGATGTAATCAAATCTATCAGTTTTTCTCCTGAAATTTGTGCTTTGGGTTTTTTTTTTTTCTTGAAGACTTTATTTGTTGAAGAAGTTAAAGTGGAAGTTAAGTGTCCACTTAAGTGTCACCTCAAGGTCACAAAGATATCCACATACATTTTTCCTCAATGGTTGTCCTATTTAGATCTTTAATTCACTTGGGGCTTACCTTTGTGTATGGTGTAAGGTTGGGATTTACCCTAATTTTTTCTCTGTATAAATTGATTTTCCTAACATTATCTATGTTTTAGGATTTTTAACTGGATTCTAATAAATAACATGCAACCATTTCTTTATTATTTGTGATATTGGTTTATTTTTAGGATTAGTGTTAGAGGGCAGCGCCTGTGGCTTAGTGGGTAGGGTGCTGGCCCCATATATACCGAGAATGGCAGGTTTGAACCTGGCTTCGGCCAAACTGCAACAGAAAATAGCTTGGCATTGTGGTGGAAAAAGAAAAAAATTAGAGTTATGTTATGAATATCCAAAAGTAATTTTTTTACTCCATCCTAGATAAGAGATGCTGCCTATTTCTATAAGCGAAGCCAGTGCTACAAAGATGCTTCCAGATGCTTTGAGCAGATTCAAGAATTTGATCTGGCACTCAAAATGTACTGCCAAGAAGAGCTTTTTGAAGAAGCCGCTATTGCAGTGGAAAAGTAGGTGGTTTGATTCTATCCATTGTCCTTCCATTCCTTCTATTTCTCTCTGGGGGCACATTGCCATGGGTGGTGGTGCCCTGATGCTTCTGAAGTGGCTTTCCATTCAAGTGGTGGCCTTGGTTCTGAGTTAGGTGCACCTTGAGAGCAAGACTATGTTTTCCACTCTCTTTATAGGCTTAGACAGTGTCATTAATACAGGGGACTGAAAGAGATGAGGGTGTGTTACGAGTGTGTATACAACAGGATATACTGACTTTGATCAGCAGAATAAAGGGAAGCCCTACACAGTTTCACTAATCTCACAAATCTAGCCACATGCACACCTGGCAAAAGAGAAAAATTGTAAGTTGGATAGTAACGGGAAGAGTATTGTAGTCATTAATGTGTGTACAGTCCCTATTCCAGCCTTTTCCATTAATCACATATCAAATAGGACAGAGTTAGAGTCCCAAAATGGTATCAGGGTTTTATGAGAGCCTGGAGTTTTTTCAAGGGTAGTTTTGACTATGCATAAAATTAGCTTTATAGATTTACTTTCCTACTTAACTCCCCCTTGCTTCTATTGCATCTCCACTATTTTTCATTAAGCACACTAATGCCAGATTAAAGAATAAAGACTTTATTATTTATTATTATTATACTGATAACAGTATAAATGGGACATTTATAAAAATGCTTGAATCCTTGACAAGTTTTGGTCTTATTTTGCAATACCTACATATGGGAGTTTTATTTAAGTTGCTCCAGGATGTACTTTGGAGGAAATTTTCTATTAGTTGGGTAATAGTAAGTTGACATTTGTGTCTTCTGCTTTTGCAGGTATGAAGAAATACTAAAGACCAAAGCTCTTCCCATTTCTAAGCTCTCTTATTCTGCCAGTCAATTTTACTTAGAAGCCGCAGCAAAGTACCTGAGTGCAAATAAGATAAAAGAAATGATGGCTGTCCTCTCAAAGCTAGACATAGATGACCAGCTAGTGTTCCTAAAGTCTCGGAAATGCCTAGCAGAAGCCGCAGACTTGCTAAACAGGGAAGGTCGGAGGGAAGAGGCTGCTCTGCTGATGAAGCAACATGGCTGCCTCCTGGAGGCTGCTAGGCTTACTGCTGACAAGGACTTTCAGGCCTCGTGTCTGCTGGGGGCTGCCCGCCTCAATGTAGCCAGGGATTCTGATGTGGAACATACCAAGGCCATTCTGAAAGAAGCACTTGACCTCTGCTATCAAACCAGCCAGTTGTCTGGTATTGCAGAGGCCCAATTCCTTCAGGGAGTAATCCTGAGAGACTTTCAGAAACTCAAAGATGCCTTTTTCAAATTCGACACCCTCAATCACTCAGCTGGAGTGGTGGAAGCACTCTATGAAGCAGCTACCCAGTGTGAGGCTGAGCCTGAGAAGGTTCTGGTCTTGGCTCCAGGGGGCTTGGATGTCCTTCTCAATCTGGTCAGGGCCCTAAAAAGAGTGACTAACAATGCTGAGAAAGAAATGGTCAAATCTTGCTTTGAGTTTTTTGGGATTTCCCAGGTGGATGCCAAGTATTGCCAGATAGCTCAAAATGACCCTGGGCCCATATTAAGAATAATTTTTGACCTGGATTTAAACTTGAGGGAGAAGAAAACAAAAGATCATTTCTTGATAACCACTGACCAGGTGAAATTAGCCCTAAATAAACATCTTTTAAGCAGGCTGTGTCAGATTACACAGAACTTGCTTGGAAAGACTTACCCAGCAGTCTGCACAAGGTTTCTTGTAGGCTTAAAATGTGAAGAAGAAAACTGTGAAGCTTTTCACAGGCCTCTGCGGCGTTGTGAGGCTAAGTGTTTGGTTCAGTCAAAAATGCACCTTGTGGCAATCAACGGATTGCTTCTAGAAGCCAAAAAAGTATTCCCTAAAATTTTAGCTGAAGAGCTTGAAGAAATTGACTATATTTTGTCTACGCATAGGTATGACATTTGCAAATCCTTCCTGAATGTTCTCTTCCCTAAGCATTTCCATCAGAGAGTGTTGTCAGAAAACCCCATGGCATGCAAAGAAATCCTCAAACCAAATTACAAATCCTTCCGGTTCTATAGGTTTGCTTTGAAAGAGTATGTCTACTTTCTGTTTCAAAATGAAAGAGCACGCAGCCGCCGGGAATCCACAGACCTGTGGCTCAGTGCCATGCAAGCTTTCCTTCTTTCCTCCAACTACCCAGAGGAATTCGAAAAGCTACTTCACCAAGAAGAGGACAGTTACAACCGGGAGCTCAAAGCTTTAGAGTCTGATAAAGAAGAAAGGGGCAGGGATAGAGACAGCAGGATGAAAGGAATAGAAGGGAAATATGGTATGCTCATACCCAACAAGGATGATGAAAGCACAGAGAAGACCCACCTGTGTTTCATCCGGCTGCTGGAGAATTGCATCGACCAGTTCTATGTGTACAGAAACCCAGAAGACTACAAGAGGCTCTTTTTCCGTTTCATGAATGTTCTTGTCAAGAGGTGCAAAGAACCGCTCATCCCCAGCATTGGAAACACAGTGGCCCTGTTGGAGTTCCAGTTCATCCACTGTGGGGTAGTGCTGGCCCGCCTCTGGAAGAATGCCATCCTGTGCCTCCCCAAGAGTTACATTGCGCTCTTGCACTACTGGGAGTTCCTATTTAGCAAGAAGGACAAGGACTTTGGGGATGTGTTCTCCGTCATTCAGGAATACAAACCAAAGGATGTGACAAGAGCCATTCAGGATTTCCGGTTCCACCTCTCCTATCTCGTCAAGGTGCTATGTGGTTATGAGAATATGCACTTCAATGTCCTACTCGATGCCTTCAGTGAGATAGACTGTGTGGTCTCAGGTGAGGCAGAGCGGACAGTGGTGCTGTGCTTGGTGATGCTAGTGAATGCTGAGTTCCTGCGGCCATCCTGCAAGCCTCTCCTATACCGCCATTTTCAGGAGATTGAGATGAGGCTGGAGCTCATGAACATGGACTTCCCGGACCAAGTTCCCGAGAGGCTCCTAAAGGTGGTGAGGCGGGTGTTGATGGCAGTCAACGTGAAGTCTGTGGCTGAGGCACTGCAGGACCTGCTCTTTGAGCGGGATGAAGAGTACCTGATGGACTGCCACTGGCGATGGGACAGCGTGCAAACCAAAGGATCCATAGTCCGTGGCCTCTATCATGAGGAGGTTAGATTAAATCGCTTGCTGTGTGTGGATCCTGTGGACTACTTAGCTGAACCCGAGTGTGAGTTTGGTCAAGATGAGACAGATGAGCTGGCATTAGAAGACCGAGACCACCTCCTGGCCACCATCCTTTCCCAGAAGCAGCGGAAGGCTTCCATCCAGCGGAAATTGAAGAGGGCATGTCTGGTGGTGTCTCTGTGCATTAGCTGGAGGAGAAGGGTGGGCACCCAGATGGAGCTCATCAGGGAGGAGGCCAGGGAACCCAGGGCTGGGAACTTTAAAAGGGCTGATGTGGATAGGACTCAGTGCGACCTGTGTGGGGTGAAGTTCACCCGCAGCCCTGAGAACTATTTTAGCCCCAGCAAAGCATTTGAAGGAGTGGCTTCAGAGGGTGTGGTCCTTTCCAGGTCTGAACTGGAAGGGAAAGAGTGTCGGGAGAGGAACAGTGAGTCATATGAGCAGCATATCCATCTAGAAGGCCACCGGAGGCAGCAAGTGGCCTACCAGAAATATTCAGAATTTTTCCTTGAGAAGGTAGACCCAGCCATTGAAGAAGGAAAATTGGTGGTGCAGGACATCGAACAGAGTGTGTGGATCCACAGTCACCTGGGCTCTAAAGAGCACAGCCACATGTTGCAAAGGAAGGTCCAGGAGCACATCAAAAGGGTCTCCGATATGGTAGAGGATCGCTATAGGCGGAAGGCCTGGGCTGGTGGTAAGAGTCTGTGGAGATGGGGAAGGTCTGAGAATGCTTGTCAGAGTTAAATTCTTTGTAGGGACTTTTGACTTGAGGATGATGGAATCTTGGCATTAGCAGAATGTAATTGTGAAGTGTACATTTTCAAATTACTGAAAAAGCTCATTGTTAGGACCACCCCTTACTCAATTATAAGTTTGTGATTATCTTTGGTGGAGATAGTTTCTCCAGGTGCTACAGATGAGAAAATAGTTTGCTAATTCTATGAAGAGGATATCAGAAGAATGTTTAAACTTTAAAGCCTTTATAAAACTCATTAAGGCTCTCCTGACTCATTCACTTAATGATTTCATGAATACCTACTAGGAGCTAAGGTCTTGGCTAAGATCTGGAAGTGTGTAGCTGATCTCCCTTTTAGGAGGTTCTTTAAATCACACCCAGTGCCAGTCTTCAATAACAAGAATTCTTATGTGGTCTTAGAATCAGATTTCCTCTACTTATTAGCTACTTCTTAGCAACATGGAGTAGAACTCAGTGAAATTGCAGATTTTAAAATATTCTATAATTCAGATACTCTTTCCAGTTTAAGGTTTAATGACTTGAATACAAGCATCCTGGAAAGATTTGAAATTGACAGTCTCTGCAGACAATCAGTAATGGCATAGGCTAGCTTTTAATTGTAGTTCATGTTTGTGGTGGCAGAAGGCAACTTCAGGTCACTTACCCTGAGGAGAGCTCTCCTCAGAGAAAGCAGAGACCAGCTCTTGGGATGTGGGGACTTTGGCTCTAGTACATGGTGTTTAGTCCCTGCAATCACCTCTTCACTCAAAGCCCATTCTTTGGTTTCTGTAGCGGAAGAGGCGATGACTTTGCTAGTCAACATTCTGATTCTGTCTGTGAGAGATGCGCGGGAGTGGCTGATGAAAACAGAACTCTGCTTAAAGGAGGAAGGTAAGGAGTCCTTTATTCTAGGGACAGCTAAGAATTTGGATGCTATGATACTTGAGACTGCTGGCTCTGAGGTGAATCTAAAGAGGGGCTGCCTAGTGATGTCAGTAGTCTCTCAGTGTTTAGGATTGTCACCCCCAGTGAGTCAAATTGTAAGGAACATTAATATCTGAGTTTTCCCATCTGACTTTGACAGCTATTGTTAAAAACCTCTTGCTGTTCACTTTTATTGGTGTTTAATCACTGTGCATACTTCATGCAGTAACTCCCAAGGAGAAGGAAAGTATTATAAAGCCATCCCTTGATAAATATATTTTACTGTGTCAATCAGTTATTTAATGTCAGTGGATATTTGAGTGTCTCGTATGTATTAGTGATATTCTGGGCCTGAGGATACACTTTTGAATAAAACAAAATCATTGGAGAAACTTGCTTGCATCTTCCTAGAGAGGGTTAAGAGCTTGGGTGGAGTGAATCAGGTTTCTTTTCTGGCAGTGAGAATTATCTTGCCAAGGTCTGTGTGATCAGAATGTCTTACCTCTTTCCTAATCTATTGCACCTTCCTGACTGGAACCACATTTCTTCTTGGTCTAAGTATTTCATAGACTCTGGATGCCCCTGGAAAATCCAGACCCCAGAACTAGCGAAAATTTGAAGGTACTTGGCAAATGTCTATGCTGATAAAAAATATTTAGCATGTAGTTCCTTCTGGGGACTGTGATTTTGTGTTTATTTCAAAATGAAGATAATTGGTATACCACCTCAAGTGTGTAGTTGAATTTAGGTTTTGTTTTCTTTATTATCATATAAGGACCTCTAAAATAAGGCCAGAGGAACCAGCCTATGAAAGAGCTTAATTCTGGACAAAGGTGTTTACTTTGGCTCTTCTAGAGAAGCAACATCAGTACTCAAAGGAAAATACTCTTTGGTACCCTGGAGTGTTTTATTTCATTAATTTAAAACAATGATTACAGAGACATTAGATTTTACTAGAATGTTAAATTTTACAGTGGAGTGTAAAAAAAATCATGTTCTGTTTTTTGCTTTTTAACCAGGTATTGTTCAGGAAGATGATTATGAAGATGAAGTTGAAGACTTTGGTGAGCTCCGTCCTAGAAGGCGTTCACGGAAATGTGGAAAACAGAGAAAATACTAACATCCAGGACATGACACAGCTGCTGCCTGTTATACCTTCAGACTATTCCATCCTGACTTAGAATTCTGAGTGCTGGCTTAGAAGAGAAAAAGAATGTGAATTAGTGTTACAAAAATGAGTAGGGGAGTCCAACAAAGCCTTGCTTTTTGTTCTTTTCATTTGGCTTTCAATGGTAGCTTAGAGTCTGATTGCTCCCTCAACTACAGGGACCTCTTAAGTGTTTTCCAAGTAAAGTCTAATAGTATTAGTTCCTCCTGCAAAACATGTGTAGGTTAGAGGAGTTGTAGTTGACTGTTGGGACTTCTCATTTCAGAGTCCCCGGGCTTTCTGGCTCATCCTCAAACTGACATAAGTCAGTAGCAGGGGCCTAGGTGTTTAAGACAGAGACATCCCTCAGCTCACAGTTACTGCTTCTCTGGGCCAGGAAATCCCTCTGTGGACCCCTCATCTCCTACCACACTGCTGCAGCATTAAGTAATAAAGGAGCTGTGTGTGCTTGGGGTTTATGTGAGCCCTGATAACAGGGAAACCCCTGATACCAGGCTGCATCTGGTTATCTCTACATTTGTAATGTAGTTGTTTCCATTATGAATGTTAACCATTTCTCCCTGTGGCAACTTTTCTGCCTTCTCTTCCTCCGTTTTTTGTGACCATTCTTAGCAACCTGTGCAAGTCACAGTTAGATGACCTCAGAATGTAGTCAAGAATTTGCTCAGCATCCTTTGGATGTCCTTTCTCTAGAGAGAAATGCTGGGGAATGTTGCTGGGGGCATTCCCAGCATGCCTCTCCAAGGTGGTCCTAACTCTGCCTTGGCTATGGTGCAGATATCCCGCAAAGTATTTTGTGTGTAGCCTTATATGTCTGGTTTTCTTGTTTTTTTCTGGCAAGTTTGCCACCAGAGCTTAGATGGACATTCTGACGAGTTTCTGCCCATTGAGCTCATCATGGTAGGATTATTACCAGCAGAGCTACAGGTTAGTTAAAAGCAAATGGACAGAGGAGGAAGCCACCCTTATAGTGCCAATCCTTTAGGATTTGGCTGTGAATCACTGCCACATGGCTGGCTTAGTGGGTAGAGGCCAGGCTGTGGGCCTTTCTGTAGGAGGCCATTGCTTGTGCCTGCCACCATTGAGCTAGCCGCCCTCAGTGTGGTCCTACTTGGGAAGCTCTCTTGCTTCTCTAGAGTCACTGCCCACCCGTACCCCACCCCTTCACTCAGCCTGGTGTAAAAGGCCAGATTCATGCTGGTCTTTGATTGTTTTGTCCTCACAACAGAACCACCTCTTTTTTCCCCACATTGCTCCTGCTTTTGCTGCTTATTGTTTTCATTGTCTTTCTGAATGACTCTGTTCCCTTAAAATGTTTGTTTCTGATTTTTATTAGGTTATGTTTATAATTTTTATTTCAGGTTTTTTTTATGAACTTTACTTGATAGAACAAACAAAACTACAATCAAATCTTGCTGTATTATTACATTTTTATAAAGTTAAATCATTTCTCTTACCTGTTGCTACTGTTTTGTTTATTTTCAATCTCTACTCAGAATAAAAGGGATAAATTGTAGAGCTGATTTCTTCTGGTCAGCTGGTTGATGCTGGCCAGGACAGATATTCACAGTGCCTTCTGAAACTGAGAAGTCCAGGGACTCACAACTGGTTGAAGTATTTTTGAGGGCTGCCTTGTGCTTATTTTTTCTAATTAGGATGCTCCTGAGCAAGGTTTGAACTATAAGAAGTTTTGTCCATGCCATGTACCAGGCCTTTCCCCAAAGAAGGAATGTTGCCCTGGGAGGCAGGAGACCTAGAATTGAATCCCCTAGTGAGCTGTGTAAGCTGGGGTGAGTTAGATCTATTCAACATTGATTCCCTAAGTACAGTACCACCTTCAGGACATCATGATCTGGTATAAGAGAGAAATGGAAATGTGGGAAAGCGGTGGTGATAGAAATGTGCATTGCATGGGTAGTAGCAGCACTTTATAAAAAAAAAAACCTAATGGGGCCTCAGTTTCCCCTTTTGGGAAGTTGGTCTAAGATCCCTTACTTCCTGATGCAGAGTGGTTCAGCAAACTGTTGCCATGGGTTTGAATACCCTCAGGTCTTGGTGCTATGAGGTCAGTGTTTGCTTCTGTTGGGTGGGCAGGGACAGCTGAGTCTTTGCTAGCAAAGCATCTGGTCTTATTCTTTAAGATTAAAGAGGCTCAGAACTGGAACAGATGATCCCACTGCCTTCTATATCAGCACTATTCAATAGCACTACCTACAGATGACCTGCAAGAATCTATCTCCTTAACTTGTAAGGCTCCTTAAAATATGGGTGTGGAGATTGGGATAGAAGAATGGAATGCAGCAGAAAGAACAGTAATTTCAATTAATGACCTGAGTCCTGGAGCCCAGTACATTTGTAGGGGCTTTGGGGGTTCTGACCTATAAGTCCAGGATGGGGGTATATGTCAGGGATCCCCAAAACCACTCTCAGGTTTGGTAATTCACCCACAGGGCTCACATATTACAACTCAGTATGAGTTGTAATTGTGACTGATTTATTATAGGGAAATGCCAAGTACAATCAGCAAAGAGAAAAGGCATGTGGGGACCAAACCTGGGGGATGCCAGGTACAAGCTTCCAAGGGTCCTTTTCATAGTCATATGGGACAGGATTAATTCCCCAACAGTGAATTGTGAAAAGTTGCTGTGTGTGTGAAGTATTGCCAATCAGGGAAGCTCTGCAGATTTAGAGCTTAGAGCTCAGGATTTCTTGGGGACCGGTCATATTGTTATCTTCTACCTAGCATATACATGGTAACAAAGTCCCACAAAACAAGAAGTGTTGAAGATAAACCACATTGTTTATAAAAACAGTTTAGGCACTGGGAGCCAATCCTGTAAGTTCTGGGAATGGTGGAAACCCTCTTGAAATCTAAGTTCTAAATGTCAGACAAGGCCAACCTTGTAAACAGGCCTTTTGAAGGGCTGCCTGCGATTTTCTGCACAGGGGGGGTTCCTCAAAGTTGAGGCTTTGTCATGATCATCCCACTAGCTTGACTTATGGGCACCCTTGTATATTCAGTTGCTAGATAAGCACGTGCTATTCATGTCCCCAGTCCAGGGAGTAAATTGTCAGGGACAATTCATCTTCCAAAAAGCCATCGTTTAGAAGAAACATTCCCTAACTGCCTTAGACACTGACCCCACTTCCTGGCCTTCTGAGTTAACCTATTCAGAATGCTATTTGATTCTCTTGACACCTGCTAGGGAAAGGGAGAGGGCCTTATGCCTCTGATGGCTGTTCCCTCTCTCCCTCCCTCCCACTAAGACACGCATACTCTGACTGGATCATTCTTAGCCAAGAGCCCTTTTCTCAAATTCCCTCTGGGACAGGAGTTCAGTCTTTCAATGATCAAAGAAAGGACAAAGCTGAGATGGGAATCACTGCTAGGGACACTGAGGCCCAGAATATATGGCTTACTCTGAGTTACAGAGCCAGTTTGGAGTAGGACTAAGGCTTAGAACTGGGTTTTATGATGCCAGCCAACACTCTGCTAAGGACTCAGGCACTGGGGTCAACAGAAAATGCCAGCAGTTCTTTCTTGGGGCTCATCACGTTTGCTCAGTATTGGTACATAGAACATGCCAGTCCTTGGGCATTTAAAGAGCTCATCTCTCAATCTTCCACTTGTCTTCAGAATAGTGTTTTCTTACCGGAATGTGGAATGCCCCAGAAGGAAACCTATGTGTGTTCTACTGTCACTGGCACAGCACAGCATAGCACTGCTCCCAAGCTGCCAGCTTTACTCTGTCTTCAGTGCCCTCACCCTTCATTACTCTAATTGTTGTAGTTCACATGTAGGACTCTCAAATCCAGGGCTGAAGTTACTGAAAGTCATCTTTTCCTAAGCCAATTTGCCTTAGTTTTCCTGGAATAGTCACTTGCAGTTCAAAATGAGCCTCAGGTTTGCTGGGCACCCTGGCTAGCATTGACCATAGCAAGAGTACCTGTGTGACTCATAGAGCTGTGTATCTTACACAGCTTACACATATCTTACATCTGCCCTCAGATAATGTGGAAAAGGGGAATATTAATGCTCATAGGTCCCGATTGTCACCAAGTAACCTGCTGGTGGCTAGAATGCATCAGCGACAAATTTCTCTAGTGCCATCAAGCAGATTTTTCTGGCTCTTCCCAAGGAGCTGAGTCCAGTGCTGCCAGGTGGGTGCCTGGTTTGTGGAGATGTGAGAGGCAAGAGGCCTGGAGATAGACAAGGCTTATACCTCACTCTCTGGAGTTTTCAGAAAGGGCCCTTCAGGCCTAGATAGGGGTCACTCTTGTGGCCCAGGAAAACAACAAAGGCTATAAATACCTAATCTTAAATCTCAAGAAAGCAAATTTCAGGTTTTATCCTATATACAGGGTGGCCATAAAGTTTTTCTGTGATTGCATATGAACTTTATGGCCACCCTGTATATATATATATAGGATATGTATATATATAT